CAAGTGGTCACGAGTTCTTTGTCGAAAGCATAGACGGTAAAAGTGAAGAAAGATCCAGGATGCTCGTTTAGTAAGCGCGAAGGGATGCTGCATAAGCCCCTAAAGAAATTGCAGTGTACCTCACTGTATGCCAAGTAAGGCACTTGTATTTCGACCTTATTCAATGTTCTTTTTCATGTCTAGTTGAGGAACACTTTATAAACTCTATGTATTCTATAGCGTTTAGCAAAAATGAAACCCATCTGTGTGGTCCTTGTATGGACCCCTACAACATGCAACAAATCGTTTTGAAAAAGCTCACCACGGCCTGAACGACCTCCCTTGTAAGATATAGACAGCATCTTCCTCTTCAGAGAAATGCTTCATTTAAAAACAATTCATTCCAATCATACTATGAATGCAGGCTCTGGTAGTATACAGTTATAATACAGTAAAAGCCACCGGGTGAGGGATTAAAACAGACATAACATTGTAAGGTAATAGAAAACAGACATTAATGAATATTACGGGAAACAATGAAAGATGTGTTAAATTGAGTGTTAAGGACAAATCTCGGGAAGAAAAGAAGGAATATTCTGGGAACACGTGCACAAGATTACCTAAGAACGTCTTCTGGATTTTCTCTGATCTAGAGAACACTGGCAGAATGAACCCGCATTTTGTACGAAGCGAAATGGTCCAGTTGAACCTGCCCTCTTATTTACTAGTTTTCACTTGTTTACAGGGCTAAGCGAAAGTGAATCCGAACATTTTGGAACATGGAAGTGAACGATGTCAAAACCAGGGAAGTGTAATGCTACAGGGCACATCATTACCCAACCGGGGGGGGGTCGTATTTGCTCGTTGTTGGGAGAAGAGTGGGGTCGTATTTGGCTTCTGGTTTTCTGAGAGCGTTTGTTGACTTTTCGTGGTTTTTCCTGTTTCATATGCGCTATACCCCTCCACTCACCCCCTCTCCCCGCTCGATAGCTCGATCCGATCAGGAAGAGGAGGTCGCCAAGCCACCTTTCAGGAGGGGGGGGGGGGGCGTGCAGACTCGACCAGAATCCCCAACTAATGATGTGCCCTGAATGCCTAATTTTGTTGGCCGCTTTTTTCTACTAATCGGAATTCGGAACACGGAAGACGTTGTGTAATCTTGTGCTGGTTGAAGAAAAGATTATCACAACATTTCTCGAGAATCAGTAGATGCAGGTCTTTCATAGGTAATTTCCTGTTTGAAACTCTCTTCAACTGTCTCATGCATGCCATGGCGTACCATAGATCCATTGCCATCGCTTGACACAGTAACGCGTGAACCACCTAAGTCACGCGAGCGGTCGCCAGGCGGTCGTGCAAAATCACGACGAGCGTCACGAATTGCGATGTCTCGTGTAACACTGCCACCCCCTCGATCAATATTAAGACCTCCACTACCAGGGCCATAACCACTATCGCCATGGTACATATTGTTGCCATAGCCGTCTCGACGTGGCGGATATCCTCGATGACTATCACTATGGCTGTAAGAGCGGCTACCATAGCCACCATAGAGATGATCCGGAGTACTGTAGGTCTCCTGCTCATGTGCAAGCAATCCTCGATCGTCGGAATCACGTCCACTTCCACCATATCGTTGTGATTGCAACGCTGAGTAGCCTTTTGACACTCGCTGTGATGATGAATCGTTCACAAATCCAGCTGTAAATTCATGCACAAACCATTCATCTCATGCGATCAGTAATGGGAACTATTCAGTTAGACAATCGATTATTGATCTGTTATGCGAAAGAAGTGGGATGAAAGGATTGAAGGATTACTCGATCGCATACCTTTCTTTGGTTTCGGTTTCCTTCGTTTCATTAGAAGCCAAGCGAGAGTGCCAAGAATTGCTAATAACAATACTGCAGCCAGAATAATAAAGATAATCATCAACCTGAACCACTTATTTGATTAATTACCATCGATGTTTTCTATACAGTACTGTTAATCAGTTGCTCCGCTCTGCGTCTGCAAGCATCTTACCGCCGAAAAATGGGAAATTCAAAGACATATTCTATGATTTATTGACCAGTGGATCCTTCTCTGGGTGGCTAGGTCCGCAACTGCAGAAAACCGAAGCACAACATGGAAAGCTGGAGCTTTATGATAGCTTTGTGTTCTGGAAGTTCCCGCCCGTCACTCGAAACGCCATACGGCCAGGTGATAGGTGCTGCTCGGCTGCGCGCTCCCACCGAGATACTGCACGGTGGTATCGGATCCAGACCAGACCGAATTAATCGTACTTTTGAATCACCTCTGCCACTTCGACCGTAACTGAGCCCACCTGACACTATATCAGTGAGAGTGCGCAGACAAGAGACGTGTATCACGTGGACCTGTAGCGGGTCGAAAAGTGGGTGGAGAGATTAGGAGCATCAAGCCATCATAAGCCTGCAACTTTTCAAGTTGCGACAATGGTGCACTTTTGCGGCTTCAGACGATCGTGATTCTGCGCAAAGAGGATCCATTTTTAGGCCCACGTCCATTAGGAACCACAGTATGACTTTAATCGTCAGGCATAGAACACCCTCTCTGCTTTCAGCCTTGCTGCAGGACTCGATTTCCAAGTTTTCTTTCTGCAGAAATACTGGTAACTTATTCTCAACAAGGAGGAACATAGAACCTAGGTCTCCGCCCTTTACTCAGTTCTCGGCCCACATTTCTCTCGTTTATGTTGCTGATTTTCTGCGAATTCAGGTCCTCTTATACGTATCCCTGCAAACGAAAGGGCGTGTGAAGGGACGTGCATTGTAGCGCAGTCAGAAAGTCTTTCCCGACAAATGCTGCGGACCCAGGATGGCATCACTGTTGGAGAAGGGCGCCTTGACAGCCCTTTTTCCGACAATGGGTCATGGGTGTGCTTATACAGTAGCCATTACGGCCATCAAAATACAAAACAAAATAAGCCAGAAGAAAGGAAAGAAAGAAAAAAGAAAAACGAAAAAGCCTTACCATAAAGGAATAGTAGCCGCTTCGGGTATACAACAGGTGCGCCCACAACACTCCAAGTCATCGTCACATCTGAAAGAGAAAATTTTCAAAATATCCATTAATGG